TTATTTTAGGATTTGTCAAACAACCGCTTCACTTGTCTTTAAATTAATTCTCAAAATCAGCCGAACGCTCGCTCAAATTCCACCGGACCAGTCTTAAAGTCCATCGACCGGACTAGACCTCAAAATCTACTGGACTTGTCTTGAACTAAACTTTACTCACCCCAAAGTCCGTTCAACTCGGTCATAAAATCCACAGACTTGTTTGGCTGGGAGGGTCCTTAAAGTTTACCGAATTTACCACACAAATGTTCAGAATACACTCTCAAAGTCAACGATCAAAAGTTCTTGAAAAACTCTTCCCTACTTACTCGATTCTCTCAAAGTTTGTCTTAGAAATCATCAAACTTAACCGGACTTACGCGCAAAATCCACCGTCATTCCAATTAGTTTGCCAAATCCAACCATCTTTATTAGTAAAAACAGTCATCGACTAGCCATCGGAGTCCACCAGACTTGAACTCAAAGTTTACCGGAGTTACCCGAAAAATCCAGTCCAACAGAACCCGAACCCGAATCTCTCAGAAAAGCTCTTCTCTTTTTGCTCTCAACTATTCATTGCTAGGGTTCTCAAAGTTGCCCAACTTGTGTTTGAAATTTATATAAATTGCCCGGAATTTTTTTCGGATTTACCACCAAACTCAACCGGACTAGCCCTAAAAATCCGCTGTCCATAAATCTAGTTACAAAAATCCAACCGCCTGAATTTCCTTCAAAATCGACCGATTTTACCATTAAAATCATCAGGGATTGCTAACGAAACCAACCAGCATTTTCCTCTACTTAGTCAACAAGACATTTTCATTAAACTTAACAGGATTTGTCTGCGAAATACACTGAACGGACTTTCACGATTTACAGAATTTTCCTTCAAAATTCACCGATTTCAAACAGTCACCGTACATGTTTTCAAAGCCTATGAAATTTGCACTTGCAATGTCCAGAACTTACTCCCACGACTTGTTAATCGAAATTACCATCAAACTCAACCGGACTTACACTTAAAATTCACCGTCCATTCAACTAGTTCAAAAAAAGTCACCCAACTTATTCGCAAAAATCCTCCGACATATTATTTAAAGTCTACCGTACTTGCATTCTATACCTCACCGGACTACCCGACTGTCACCCAATATGCACGCAAATAAAAATGACATTTGGATTAAAAGAAATTCCCCTGAAAATTCCCCTGAAAATTCAACCGGACTTGCCCTAAAATTAACCGGACTTTTTCACTAAAGTTCTTATCTTAGGATTTGTCAAACAACCACTTCACTTGTCTTTAAATTAACCCTCAAAATCAGCCGAACTCTCACACAAATTCCACCGGACCCAGTCTTAAAGTCCATCGAACTTCCTCTCATTTGGTTTTCTTTTGATTAACCGAAATGCACTGTACTTATAAAATGCTTTGTAAACGCACTAAAATATGCTACAAATTGAAACGACAGAAAACCCTTGAATTTCAAAATAAGCTTTGAAACGCCAAAAATGACTCAATTGCTGTTAAATCGCCAAATAAACTTCGAAACTGCACTTAATTTGTTTTTAAATCTCCAAGACTACAAATGCAAAATCAGCAAAAAATCGTCTTAAAACGGTAAAATGCCTGAAGGTTCTGAATATTGTCTTCAAAGTCTACCAAACTTTCACTCAAAATGTACAGGACTTACCCCCACGACTCGTAATTACCTCAACCGGACTTACGCTTAAAATTCACCGTCCATCCAACTCGTTCACAAAATCCACCCGACAAGTTCGCAAAAATCCTCCGATATATCTTTATAAAGTCCACCGTACTTGTATTCAAAGTTTTCCGACTTCACCGGACTACCGGACTCTCATCCAACATTCACAAAATTCAATTCAAAATCAATAATCCAACCTATTCTTCGTCCCGTTCACAGTCAGCATCTGAATTAAGCGTCCTGAAAGGGCCCCTCGTCCAATAGCCAAAGAATGACATCCCTCTTCAAGTCAAGCTCTTGAGGTAGTCAATCAATTCCACTAGCCAGCGATCATCTGGGTACGATGATCAAGGTCGACCAGATTGGTCCTCAACCTACCCCGAAACAAACGAAAACAAAACCCAACTCACCCTTCCATCTCATGTCTCACGAACCGCTAATTAATAACAACGTTTCGGTCGGTCCCCCCCTCCCAACCACTGACTAGTAACGTAATTCGATCGAGGATCGGATCACCGCAGGCCGTTCTCTAAGCCCAAATCAAATTAAACCCCACCGACCGACGACATCGGTCGATCGCTCGATCAATCGGCCATCTCGAATGGACCACCGATCAACCGGCGAACGAACGCGTTCAAGTCGCGCAAACCCGCCGAGAGTTTGTGTGCGGTCGGGCGGTGGCCGTTTTTTGAGTTGTCCTTTTTTTTTGTTTGGTTATTGATTGCAGAGCTTTATTTTTTTGCTCGTTTCTGCAATCGTTTTGAATTTCATCTGCGGACTCCCGATGAAGAAAAAAAAAATGTACAATCGTTTGATGTTGAATGATGTGCGTTTCAAAATTAAATTTTATATTTGACTGGTTGGTTCGGGATTCCCGATGGGCTGTTTTCCTAAGTTGAAATTTAAGGTTGATGCATTGTCTGGACAGGACAATTCCTTGTCCGGATAGGACAATTCCTTGTCCGGACAGGACAATTCCTTGTCCGGACAGGACAATTCCTTGTCCGGACAGGACAATTCCTTGTCCGGACAGGACAATTCCTTGTCCGGACAGTACAATTCCTTGTCCGGACAGGACAATTCCTTGTCCGGACAGGACAATTCCTTGTCCGGACAGGACAATTCCTTGTCCGGACAGGACAATTCCTTGTACGGACAGGACAATTCCTTGTCCGGCAGGACAATTCCTTGTCCGGACAGGACAATTCCTTGTCCGGACAGGACAATTCCTTGTCCGGACAGGACAATTCCTTGTCCGGACAGGACAATTCCTTGTCCGGACAGGACAATTCCTTGTCCGGACAGGACAATTCCATGTCCGGACAGGACAATTCCTTGTCCGGACAGGACAATTCCTTGTCCGGACAGGACAATTCCTTGTCCGGACAGAAAAATTCCTTGTCTGGACAGGAAAATTCCTTGCCTGAACAGGACAATTCCTTGTCCGAACAGGACAATTCCTCGTCCGGACATAGATAGATAGGACAATGTATCGTCCGAATTTACCCAAATCCAGTCAGCTAATCCAAAATCCAAACCTGCCAAATCCGTTCCGCAAATTGATACGTCAAAATACGTTCGAACAAGGTCGGCATTGGCACCGCTACACCAGAAGCGACGATGACGGTGGTGTGGAATGGCATTTCGTACCAGGCAGCAGCAGCAGCAGCAGCCCGTAACAAATGATCCGTGCGGTCAGCTCCAGGCAGGCTGGCAGGCAGGCAGGCGGTTGCAATTTGATCCTTTTTGTGCACCGTCACACTACCACCACCACCACCATCACCACAGTCGCCACGGAGGTTCAGCGAGGAATTTCTTTTGTGCATGCAGACGAACGACAAATCGGGTGGCAGAGTGATCAAATAACTTGAACCACTCGCGCCTGAATGTGCGCAATAAACGAGGGAAGCAAATCATTCATTTTCGTCAAAAAAGGGCACAACGAAGATTGAAGAGAAGCAATCCTTTTTGTGTATTTATTTATTCATAATTTTCGGCGTTTTGGTATAAACAACAAGCAGATCGGTGGAGATGTGTTTCGGACAATGAAAAAGGAAAATTGAGATTCCTTTGTGGTTCTTTTGTTGCACGATTTATTTGCAAGAAAGTTGCAACTACCATCATTAGCAACCGGGGTTGTTGATGGATGCTGTTCGGACACTTCAGGGTCGGTTCGATGCTTAAAGGTTAATTTTTGGGGAAGCTTTGAATCCCTCTGGAGTCACTGCACTCAAGACAAATCGATTGGGAAGCTTCTTTGCTTCGTACGGTCCGCTTTCCAAAATATTCCCAAGTGTTGACCTTCAATATCTCAACTATACCAACCGATCAATAAACATCGAATCGTTTCTGCTCGGCACGGGGAGAAACAAAGCACACATTTTCAATAGCGATGAACTATGAATATAAATTAATCTATATTTAGGCAAGCAGATATTCAAGGTCACCGTCTACCACCTCATTGATAAAACATCTACTAAGCACTACGAGCGAAACTATTCGAATACAATGGAAACCATCCCCTCAGCGGCAACCCGTCGGTCCGGTTCCAACGGAAACGAAGCTTTGAATAATTAGCTTGGAATAGATCACGATCGTTGGGGAGCAGAAATTCCCCAATTCTTGGAAGTCTTGAATGCTGTTCAAATCATCACTATTCGCGATGCACCGATATGGCTCAATCACCGGTAGCCGACGTAACTTCATTTAAATAGCACGCTGGATTCGTAGAATGTGGAATGCAACAGCCAATCACCGATGACCAGCTGACAGGATTCATTCATAAACTTCAATCTCTCTCCGCCGGTCGTCTCTTTCGTCAGATTCTTCGGTCAAAGCTCATTAGAGAACGGCGGGGACGAAGAGAGAGAGAGAGAGAGAGAGAGACGACGAATGCGACCCATGCATAAATATGCTCAAATATTTATGCTCATAAACTGGCCGCACCGCCTACCACGATCGCGCTTGGATGGCTTTGGATGGGTGGTGGTAGGCATGGCAACGCACACGGATGGGGACGACGCGGAGTCTCGTCTTTTTATGTTTTGCGCGTTCGTTCAATTTTTGCGTAATAATAAAACTTCGAAGCATGTCGTTTGGGTTTTCCGCCGACCGAGACGACGACGACGACGACGACGTTGTGTAATAATGTAGGCAAATTTGTGCAAATTATGTGTTTGAAGGGTGCACTCAGCGAGAGAAGCCTCTGTCACACTGTCGGTCGCGAAATTCCGCGAAATTTGAGCTTCGAATTTTTAAATATTTTATTTTTATTTACTTATTATTTTGGGAAAGAAAGTATGAAAGTGGACTTACCCCTCGCCGTCAGCGAGATGAAGGCCTGGGCGTGCTTTCGCACCTTCTCTATGCTAATGTCGTGACACTTTTTGTTCTCGATCGGTAGCCGGCACAGGAGGAGTTCGAGAAAGTCTAGCGGCGTCACGGTGGAGACGTCCCATTTTAGCCGGCTCAGGACCAGGAGTTCCCATCGCTGTGGAAAGGAGAGAAAACAGTGAAAGCATTAGTCATACGAGGAACAGAGGGCGATTCGCGGTGCATATCAGCGAAATCCGCTGAAATTCGCGGAGTTTGACTCGGTTCGAGAAAAAAAAATTGACAAATGCAATGGCGAGTTTGGCGATTTATACGGTTCTTCGGTTTTTATTTTAAGACTTTAATTGGCTTATTGGTTCTCAGACATTGTTTGGCGTCCGAATCCAAAATGGCGGCGGATGTCGGTTTTCCACTTCTACTCATTGAGCCCATTCCATAGATACCCATATTGCATGCGGTTAGATGAATATACGCTGTTCGGAGGCCGCCATATTGGATTTTGGTCCGCCGTCTTGGATTCAAAAATAGCGGCGGATGTCGGTTTTGGTGACTTTGTTACCTCAAAATCAGCTAAGGTCTAAGGCCTTGATTTTCTGCTTTGTGATATTGCTGATCTCAAGATCAGCAGTGATTTTTGGCCGTACCTGATTTTAGAGTTTTTGGATTTTTCCCATCACTGCAACTCAAGGCCAAATGACCTTAAAATGGAGGAGATGTCAAAACGCCAATATATCTTTTAAATCACCAAAACCTCTTAAATCACCAAACCAGACTTGCGCAAAATGACACAACATACCTCAAAAAGTGAAAAACATTAAGAGCGGCTGTAAAACTCGGTTAAACCTTTTCCATTCCATGATCGGCTCCGTGTTTCCAGACCAATCATCAAGCTGTCCGGATCTGTTCCAGCCTCCTCCTGTCTACGCCTGGTGTTGAAAGCGTAGTACCACCTTTGGCAGGCGGTTAGACGAAAAAAGTCCGAAGGACAAAAGGTCGAAGGACAAAAGGTCGAAGCACAAAAGGTCGAAGGACACAAGGTTGAAATGGACAAAAGGTCGAAAAGGATAAGCTGGTCAAATTGTTGCCAATCTCTCAAATATTTGGAAAATTTAGATAACAAATTGTTACTGTGCCTGTCACGGCAATATATGAGACAACTAACTGCCTTTCTCTAGAATATATTTCTTCTTAAAATCATTGGCAGTTCTTTGGTAGCATGGCCATAGTATTTTTTTTAGAGTTCTTTTAAACCCTGAGCGAAAATATTCTAAACAATATTTTGTCCCCATAAATTCAATTCGATCTTTTGTCCATTCGACCTTTGGCTCCTCTAAATTCAATTCAACATTTTGTCCATTAAACCTTTTGTCAATTCGTCCTTTTGTCTCTCTATGTTCAATTCGACCTTTTGTCCTTCGACTTTTTGTCCTTCCACATTTTGTCATAGATTCGAAACACCCTGAAAGCCCATAAAAATTGATCTTAAAAATTCGACCTTTTATCCGCCCTCTCATAATTCAACCTTTTGTCCCTTCGACCATTTGTCATATTATTTAGATTTTTGTATTACATCGGCCTTCTATGCTATTTTATTTAAATTCTACGTTATGTTTGGCTTTTCAGAGGAATGTTGGCTTTTTTGACCACTGTAGACGCTTAGAACTTTTTTCTCTTTCTTCTTTTAGGACCAATTTTGAAGGCCTTTCAGGGCGTTTCAAATCTATGACAGATTGTATGACAAAAGGTAGAAGGCACAAAAGATCGAATGGACAAATGAGAAGGAGTACAGATGAGAAGGAGTACAAAATGTCGAATAATGAGAAGGGGGACAAAAGGTCGAATGGATAAAAGGTCGAACTAACGAAAGGTCAAATAATGAGAAGGGGAACATCATAAAAAGGTCGAATGGACAAAACGTCATATCTTTTTCTTTCATTCGAGTTTTTGTTCTTCGACTTTTTGTCATTCGACGATTTGTCATTCGACCATTTAACCCACAACCATCGACAATCAAGCCAGAAGCCATTGAAAACGCCAAAAGGCTCTAGAACGTCAAACACCGATATCGTCTTGAAAATACTAAAATAAAACTTTTACGTCAAAAGAGCGTTGAAAACGTGAAAAGTGACAACTCTTCACAAGGCAACTTAATAACCCCCCAAGGCTTCTTCCTCTTTTTAAATATATTCGAGAATATGTTGGCACGGGGGTGTTTTTTCCACATGCTCAAATTTGCTATCTCTCATAACCATATCAAGCGGCATATCAAATCAAAACTACTCGTCGAAATATGACTAATGGCACTCAAATCGAAAATCATAGAGTCTTATGGCCACCGTAGAATCGGTTCTGGATATTCCGGATTTTGGTTCTACATCGTCAAATTTGATATCTCTCATCAACATATCAAGCGACATATCAAATCACATCTTCTCGACGAAATATGACCAATGGCACTCAAATCGACATTATAGAACCAAATGGCCACTGTAAAACAGGTTCTGGATGTTCCGGATCTTGGTTCTACAAGGTCAAATTTGCTATCTCTCATAACCATATCAAGCGGCATATCAAATGACATCTACTCGACAAAATATGACCAATGGCACTCAAAACCGCAACCGTAGAACCAAATGGCCACTGTAAAACCGGTTCTGGATGTTCCGGATCTTGGTTCCACATGCTCAAATTTGCTATCTCTCATAACCATATCAAGCGGCATATCAAATCACATCTACTCGAAGAAATATGACCAATGGCACTCAAACAACAACCGTAGAACCAAATGGCCACCGTAAAACCGGTTCTGGATGTTCCGGATCTTGGTTCCACATGGTCAAATTTGACATCTTTCATAACCATATCAAGCGACATATCAAATCACATCTTCTCGACGAAATATGACCAATGGCACTCAAATCGACAATCATAGAACCAAATGGCCACTGTAAAACCGGTTCTGGATGTTCCGGATCTTGGTTCCACAAGGTCAAATTTGCTATCTCTCATAACCATATCAAGCGGCATATCAAATGACATATACTCGACAAAATATGACCAATGGCACTCAAAACCGCAACCGTAGAACCAAATGGCCACTGTAAAACCGGTTCTGGATGTTCCGGATCTTGGTTCCACATGCTCAAATTTGCTATCTGTCATAACCATATCAAGCGACATATCAAATCACATCTACTCGACAAAATATTACCAATGGTACTCAAACAACAACCGTAGAACCAAATGGCCACCGTAAAACCGGTTCTGGTTGTTCCGGATCTTGGTTCCACAAGGTCAAATTTGACATCTTTCATAACCATATCAAGCGACATATCAAATGACATCTACTCGACAAAATATGACCAATGGCACTCAAAACAGCAACCGTATAACCAATTGGCCGCCGTAAAACCGGTTCTGGAAATTCCAGATCACGGTTCCACATGGTCAAATTTGATAACACTCATCAACATATCAAGCGACATATCAAATCACATCTACTCGACGAAATATGACCAATGGCACTCAAATCGACAATCATTGAATTTTATGACCACCGTAAAACCGGTTCTGGATGTTCCGGATCTGGGTTCCACATGGTCAAATTTGACATCTTTCATAACCATATCAAGCGGCATATCAAATCACATCTACTCGACGAAATATGACCAATGGTACTCAAATCGACAATCATAGAGTCGTATGGCCACCGTAGAATCGGCTCTGGATATTCCGGATCTTGGTTCCACATGCTCAAATGTGATACCTCTCATTAGCATATCAAGCGACATATCAAATGACATCTATTCGACAAAATATGACCAATGGCACTCAAAACAGCAACCGTATAACCAATTGGCCACCGTAAAACCGGTTCTGGAAATTCCGGATCACGGTTCCACATGGTCAAATTTGATATCACTCATCAACATATCAAGCGACATATCAAATGACATCTTCTCGACAAAATATGACCAATGGCACTCAAAACAGCAACCGTAGAACCAAATGGCCACCGTAAAACCGGTTCTGGATGTTCCGGATCTTGGTTCCACATGGTTAAATTTGATATCTCTCATCAGCATATCAAGCGACATATCAAATGACATCTACTCGACGAAATATGACAAATGGCACTCAAAACCGCAACTGAGAACCATATGGCCACCGTTGTTTTACGGGTTAGTCGAAAAAATAAAAACAAATAAGATAGAATAGAATTAAAAAATTGAATGCCGAAAAATTGCTCTAGCATGTTCAAAGAACCAGATAAATGGTGTCTCCAACAAAGTTGCACCAACAATCAATTCGAAACTCACGATTTTAAATCGGCTCACCACTTTAGTAGCCTATTGGTCCCAAGCAAACGATTAACGTACCCTATTCTAGTTGAAATTCTATTACTACACTATGTTTGTTTTGATTCGCTATGAAAGTTTGACAGATAACATCAGGGGTGTGTGGATTCATGCAGAACATGCAGGGGTGAGTGAAATAGCTTGGGACTGCTTGGGACCGTTGTTCTGGTACTGAGTGAGCCAAAAATAATAATGATTTTCTTCGGAACCCAGTAGTCTTATGGTTGAACGTCAATACATTTTCTACAACTATTCTGAAGAATGCCATATAAGAATGCAAATTTATTAGAAACATATAAAGTCATAGTAATTTTCCTGCTGCATTCACTAGGGAGCATTTCCAGCCCAAAACGCAAACCGGTTGGTCATGAGTGTTTCCGATTTGAATGAAACATTTCTCACGTGTTCGCTGCTACTAATGGTTGCATTTTTCATTTAAATTAGATTTTTTCCTCCAGAGTAACTTTTGAAAAGGGCGTATAAAAAAATGGATTATTTTTTTTTTCAAAAAATCATAACTTGAAAATTATTGATCTGATCAAAATGGCATATGAGAAAAAGTTTTAGGTAGTTAAATTATCTTTGCGGAAAAAAATACACTGAAAAAAAAACTTTGTAAATTAGTATTTAAAAAACGTAAAACGGTGATTATCTCAAAACACCCCCCCTTCGATCTTCATAATTTTTTTTTTCAAGAAAACTGAAAAAATGCCCTAATATTTGGTAAAGAGTATATGCTGGTAACTTTCTTAAAAAAAAAATTATAATTTTTGAAATTTTTGTTGGTTTTTACAAGTTG